TAAAAAATTACAAGTTTTTAATAACACATAAACTTTCGCAGCCCAGGAGATATTTTAGATAGTAAGGTAGTTACTGTGCGTGCGTGATTTTCTCAGTTGCGATGACAGCGATAGATCGAGGCAATTAACGCGCAAAATTTACATAATAAGATATGTAAATTTATTAGTAATTTACTTAAACGGTCAGAAATTTTATCAAGTATAAAACTATTGAAAGTAGAAAACTATTGAAAAAAAATTTTACTAAAATGAAAAATAAATTAAATGTAAATTTTGGTAGTAATAAAGCGCAAATTATACCTGTAGATATGTTATGTCTGTTATAAATTTTTTCGCAAAAGAAAATAACTAATCTTGTATAACACGCATAGTCATTTATGTATGATGTGTGCTGCCTATGATTTACGTTCTCTTTCTAGTTTGTGAATAAATAATTTGTTTTACACACCCGTTATGACATTGTGTGACAAAACAAATTAAAGCAGTCATTTTATAAATTTAATATCACATTTTATATTATATATCAGTACGTTGTAAGTACTGATGATACCGACATTTATTACACTCACCAAATACCATAAATTTGTAAAATTTGTACGGTGTAAAATTTTAATCTTAAGCTGCGTAATCCTTAACGAAAAATTATATCGATAATATGCCGGAACGTTGTTTTGATGTAAAATACGGTTCTAGGGACGAATTTTATTGTTGTAAAATTTATATTGTTATATTATCAATATATCTTCGCAGTGCGTTAATACGATGGATGCCAAAGGTTCGTAATGATTTTGACAGTAAATTGCGCTTTACAATAATTTTGTTTTATTTATAAACAACGACGGGGAAATCGATCGAAAGGAAGCTTTTCATTTCACAACATTGTGATGGCACACTGGTTAACGCAATGGGATTGACTTCGTATAACGACTGTAAATGCGTCAATGGGCCTTTTTAACGGAAACTTTTCTAAACTGATTTTTATAGGTAATTTCCTCGTATCACGTGATAAATACAAGTTGCTGGGACACACCTCCTGCTGTTTTACACTCAGCTCTTAAATCAATTAGCATGAGTCATTGCTTTGCGTCTGAGGTTCTCTGGAGTCTTTTCCTTTGCGTTTTTAAATCAGTGTCGATGACTAATTTAGATATTTTTCGTGCTAGAGTTTCGTTTGACGCTGCGATAGTATTCGGCTTCATAATATTGTAAACACCACCTGTAAAGATGGTCATAATTAATCTTTTAATAACTGGACAGCATCGATTTTTGCGCTTATTTTCCTTTTGTTTAAAATTATATATTATTCTGCAATAAGAAATCGCTGTTTTGATTCTGATTTTTATTCTGCTTCTGATTCTGATAATTCAATCTGAAATTTCTGATTATATACAGTGATTATTTGAAGTGTGTTCTCTTGTTCATCATAATGAAAGTATTTTAATACATATGGTATATTTATTTATAATTATTTTATAGTTTGAGCCAATTTTGTTAATATTATTTAGTTGTAATTTTTGTAGTAAATTAAGTATGAGTATTTCAGAGATAAATTTTTCAGAAAGTTTTCATATGTTCGTGATCGGTGGAAGGAAAGTCGTAAAATTTAGCTATAGTGATATTTGGTTATTAATCTGTCGTTCGTGTTACCGTACCCTTCGTATCTATAATAGTTCCACCCGCTTCGCGTAAAATCAGCGTTCCTGCCGCCACATCCCAGGGTTTAAGTTGAATATCTAAATAGAAGCAATCCGCTACACCCCGCGCTATGTACGCCAGAGTGAGTGCGGCTGATCCGATACATCTGGTTCTGAATCAATAGGAAACGCATAAACAGGATCTTTCCAAAATAATAGGTTAACAGATAACAGATAACAGATTCGATACTTAATTATAATGCACGATTAGCTAGATCTAGAATAACGTTTCACTTACATGTGCGTCGCTTCAACCAAGGCGTTCATCCTGGGTATCTGTATACTGTTTTTTAATTCTATTTTCTAAACGAACAGCTCAAGCATGACCAATGCTTCTTTCAGTTCTGCAAAAAATTGAAGCAGTGAGAACAACACTTTTTACGAGCGCATTTAGCTACAGCTCTTTTTTCCCATTCGTCACGGAGATTTTACGGTTCTTCCCCCCGTTGAATCAACTGTGTGATTAATATGTAGGTAATCCAGATCTATAATCTTGCTGTTAAAAATAAATTGTTATTGACTGGAATATGCATTTAGCACTAATTTTGCAAAGCGGGAAGATACAAGACGGAAATCAATTATGATGGATTGCAAAGCTCGTGCAAATTATATGGAAATGATGATTTATAAAGTGGAAAATGTAGCATTTCTTGAATTTCTGAAAATCTCTCACGTTTGAAAATCG